GGGCCGGATTTACCTCTTTTCGTGACATAGGCAAAACACATTTTTGGGCCCCCCTTCCCTATTAATATAATAGCCTAACATTAGCTACCACCCAAGCAAACAAAAATATTTCTTAATCAGTGAAACCATTACAGTGTTTTCTATCGCAATAAGCGCTTGCGTTGCAGTCAATAAAAATCGAATGTAGTTCTTAATTTGCTTGAGAACTCAGAAAGACCATTCCATTAAAAGGCGCGGCGATGTGGCCACATAACCACTTCAGGAGTGCATCGTCTCTCTAATAATTTTAACGGCCTGGAGTCACCACCACACATCAAGACATTGTTAAGATGATTTACTTCAAAACATTTGTCATGTTTCCGTCCTGAAATCTCGTGTGTGTTGAACAATTTTTTACGCACCTCATAAACCTTCCATTGCAAATTCCAAAACGTCATTTTAGAGTTTATAGGCGTCTACTAATAGCGAATCTTTAAGTTAAACTGCTTCAAGAACCTCGCTACTGAGAAATGTCATGTAGCTTTTCAGCTGCGAAACTATTTTATTGCGGGGCACTATAAATTTGCGGGGCAGCGCTGACAACAAGTTTCTGGTCGCATCTCCACGTGTGTGCGCGTCTGTGAGAGAGAACTGGAGAAAGAAAGCGTTATTTCCGTAGTCTACATAAAAAAGGTGGAAGACATGGAAATACTTTGTCATTTTTTAACCTATTGTTTGTTATATTTATTTGCTCATATAGCCCATAGTATAACAAAAATATTATATATGTCTTCTCTTCATTGTGTTTGGGCCCCCCTGGACGAGCGAGCATAGGCATGTGCCTAGAATGCCTATTCATAAATCCAGCCCTGATGGCTACCGTCAGCTGTTTGGTTACCAACATTCTTCAAAATATCTTTTTTGTGCTCAACATAAGAAAGAAACTTATGCAGGTTTGGAACAACTTGCGGGTGAGTAAATGAAGATAACATTTTCATTTTTGGCTGAACTATCCCTTTAAGATGAAATCTGTAAAAATACTAAAGAAATGTGGAAATTGTGAAAATGTTATAAATGTAATAAATGTAATTATTTTAATACATAATTTGTTGGGGGTTAAAACAAAGGGGTCAGTAAGTTTAGGCATGTTTCTAATGAATTGAATGAGAGTTCTGTGCTGCAGTGTGTTTTATCTGATAAGAGTGAGAGAGAGAGAGAGAAAGTGATTACAACAGACTCACCCACTTTCTATAGAGACAGAGACAGAAACTCAGAAACACAATGTCTGTGATTTTGGATTGAAAAATATACTGCTATTGAGCAAGACACACAGGAGGATGTGAAAGCTGCTGATATAGTGACATACTGAGAGTAAAATAAACCAACAATGAAACTGTTAGGGTTCTGTTCTGGAGGTTTGCAGCTGATTCAGTCCCTACAGAAATGAGAATGTATGAAAGAGAGAGGAAAATGATAAAGTGTGAGTGTCTGATTATGTTTTACAATTAATCAAAGTCAGTATCCTCACAACTATGTTCCTTCCTAGAGAAAAATGGTATCTGTGAAGACTTCCAGTCAGGTTATGGACCGTACCATAGTACTGAGAGTGCTCTCATCAGAGTTACAAAATCATACTTACATGGTTCAAATGCCCAACTGCATTTGTGAGAAAATCTGCCTGGACACATTTGTGAGAAAATCAAGCCAAGAGATCGCATAAAAGTGCGAGTGTCTCACAATCAAACAGACCAGCATTTGTATGCACTAAATTTGGTATTTGTTTAACGGTTACATGCAATTCGTAGCATTGATTGTACTTGTGAAATATGATGTACGCTCATGCATTTATATTTGTAAAGAACAGTATGTTTATTTGTTACACCTCTGCGATTTCGCTCACTCTGACCATTGTATTTGCAAATGTCTTTCTGTTTGATTGCGAGTCGAGTTTTCCTTTGCAAAGCAGATGAAGTTTGTTTGCAAAATACTGGATTTGTTTGTTTAATTTCGGCACATTATTCACTCCATAGGTGACTGCTGCTTGGGTGTGTGGTGGCTGATAAATAGGTGGTTGCTATGCGGTTGCTAGGATATATTGAGTGTTTTTTGGCATGTTGCTAAACGGTTGAACGGTGGTTTTAGCTCGTTGCTACACACTTATTAGGTGTTCTGAGTGTTTTTAACTCATTGCCATGTGGTTGCTGGGGTGTTTAGAGTGTTTTTAACATCCGTTTACTAGGATGGTATCATTCATATCCATTAAGTAGTGCAAAGTTATGCCAAAATTTAATACTTAAGAGTTAGCAGTTTGTTCAAATCTCTAACACTATGTGTGAGTAATAGTAATAGTGATGCTTGCCTTAGCAATAATGTGTGTGTGTGTGTGTGTGAAAGAGAGTGTGTTCGGGAGGGCTGTTAAGAAGGTGCAGAGAGAGAAACAGAGTGTCATTAATGATTAATATGTGCAGAATTATTAAAGCATTCCCAAACAACAAAGCCATTAATGATGAACATTATTTCTACTCTGTAAGTGTGTGTGTAGAGGGACTGAGAGGAATCAATCCTCATGAATGCTGCAGCAAACTACTTGTGTTTTCTCTCCTGGAGCACACATCATAAAACGACAAGCAAAACTGAAATGGAAAACTGCATTTCTGTCTCTACATGATATATGAAGGTTATAGATTATGTGTTTGTATGTGTGTGTGTGTGTGTGTGTGTGTGTGTGTGTTGTGGCACAGGAACACATGTGACTGATTTCACACTAATTACATTACTGACTGGGGCCAGAGGCATTTGCAGGACCGACATCTCAGATAAGACAAGAATGTATTAGAAACACACACACTGACCCTCTAAGATACTAAATAAAACTAGAATACAACTGCTACTGTAAACAAACCAGCCAGACTGAGCTAAATAGATGCTCATATTAGAAAAAAAAAACCATGTAACAGCATCACTCCACACTCCTGAATCCAATACCAAAATATCGGATCTCTTAGCATGTCTATTTTGTCCTTTTCAATTAACATGGTACTATATTGTTCAGCTTTTGTGTCCAGAAGCTTTTTCAATGAGAACTTAAAAGCAATAGTCTGTAGTTTAATGCTGCATTCATGCCATGTTGGAATTACCATAATTACAAGATGACAACTTGGAGATCCTACTTGGAGCTGTTCGCATCCTCAGACACAGATATAATTTGTTTCCATGGCAACATTCATAACGCCAAAATTGATCCATGTGCAGCTTTGTTGTTGATGACAGCAAGATAATTAAGCACTACTTTAATTCACCATTATAAGAATAAAGAAAGCGTACCAGGTAACATTGGCTATAATAAAATGGCATATCAAATATGAATATGTAGTGCTATCTAACTACATTTATTTAACAGCAGAAGCCGCTAGCATTTTTGTCATCACAACCATCAGAATTACAACTTGTAATTAAAAGTTCAATGAAGACGTGAATGGTTTTCACTAGTCAGAAACTCATGCAGCATCTGAAAGCTGTAACCAGCTCTGCTCTGTTTTATAATATGTTGAAATAAAAGGCTGTGAGATTGTCCGATGTGTTTGTTCTATTGTTCACCGAATGAATACGGTGTTCGTGGTGGTCTCCTGGGCTTTTCCGCAGGGTTCGTTTAATAATGCACCATAAACTCTGCAAATTTTGCCACAGCTAAAAAACTGATGTGCAGTCCAAGAACAACACAGCAGCATCTGGTCCAAGTTAAAAGTGAAGTTCTGATTAACCTTCCTGTTCTGCGATGCACATTCATGGTAGTCTGTCCAAAACACACCAGACATTCCACAGCACGCACTGACAGTCACACACTTATGTTGGCATCTGGCTTCAGCATTTTGAGACAGAAAATTTAAGCCCAGTGAATGTTTCTGAATGGATGGGAAAGTTCTGCAACTCCTTGGAATTCTGGGAGAAAATAATGTAATACCAGTGCTGAGTTACTGTTTCACACCAAGCTCAGGGCGAGAATGGTTGTTTTGAATAGTCTTGACTAATTATCCATCTGTATATCCGTCCAAATTGCAGTCAGAGATGTGTGTCTATATCTATTGCAGTTTTTGTATTTGTATTTAAGCTTTTCAAAGATCTCTGTTACAAGCTTGATAAACATCTGCAGCTGGAATCCTGTACATTTAAATCCAGAGCAAACACATCAAATGTGATTGAAAATGTGGTTTATGCTACACAATTAGTCGCTTAAACCCAACACCAAACTTGATGACCTTCAGAGTTTATGTTACGATTGATTCGACTGATGATTCAGACTGACTCATCATCAAAGACTCTTCCTATTCTTATCTTTTAGTTTTGATTTCTGTAGCTTTTTTGGTCTTTTCTTAAATGAGAGATTACTGTTCATATATTGTGTACCATACACTGTATACTGGATGTTAAGTGTGATCTCATTACATATTTAAATTTGCAGTAAACCTCCAATAAGCATCTCTGAAATAAAACATGGTTATTTTGAATTTATTACATTTTGTGTAAAAATGTCTAAAGGAGATTGTATTTACTCACACTCATGTTGTTCCAAAGCTGTATGACTTTCTTCTGTGCAACACAAAAGAAGATATTTTGAAAAATGTCTCAATATTTTTTGTCAAAACAATGAAATTCAGTGGTCCAAAGATGTCTTGGATGCCAATGAATTTGATTGTATGGACAAAAATAGTTAAAACATTCTTCAAATTATCTTCTTTTGTGTTCCACGAAAGAAAGAAAGAAAGCCATACAGGTTTGAAATGACATGGGTTGATGGGTGAACTCTTTAAACTCTTGCAGCCTGATCAAATAAGTGAAGAAGGCAGATATACGTTCTGGTTCATTTGTCACACTGGATACAGAACATTTTTTGAGTGAATATAAAAGAAGTTGAGTGCATTGCATTGTAGGATACAGTATTGATTGTATTGTACAGTTCGGAAAAAAGATGTAGATCAATCTGATACAGTGTCTCATTCTAGTCACACAAAAAATCTGCATATAGCCTATGTATAGTATACCCTCTGCACACTTCAGAAATAGTATGCATAGCATGGTAGCATGCCATTCTAAACAATACCCTTCTTTTACATCTCTATCTCCCTCACACATACACAAACTAAAGAAGATGGACTGAAAGAGAAAATGGATATAAAGGGATGGTCATGGTCTGTCTTGTTGCTCTTTCAAGGCCCCTCAGGGGTCCACAGCAGGACATTCAGCATAACAGACTTTTCATTGGTCCCCTGGCACTGAAATCCAACCCAATAGTAAAGCCAAGTCTGTGTGACTGACAGCTGCTGATTTACGCCCCTATTTACGAGCTGTTTAAAATGACAGAGAGACTCTTCAAATCCATCTAATTTATGAGATTTAGTCCACACAATGCCTTGTGAGTGTTTGCGTGCTGATGCTGTTAACTAAATCACTGAAATGAGCCGCAGGTCAATAACAAGCTCTGCCTCCAACCTTACAATAATTTAATGTCAGTGTCTGTCAGCCTCCTCGTTAAGAAAACAATCAGCTTAATTACTCATGTGATGCTGGAAGCCTCATCAAACTGATGGAAATGAAACCATACGCAGCGTTCTATGTGCCTTTCACATTTTTCTGTTTTGACTCCTCGCATTCTTGAGATTTCCTCTTGGGAAAACCATCCCCCTTTTTTTTCCTCGGGAAAAACATCCCTCTGAGTGATAAATGCAGATCCATTATCACAGCCCGGGACGTTTGTTCTTAAACAGATCTAGTTCAACTCCTTCTAAATTTAGTAACATAAATATGAAATATTTCATTTTCAACCAACAGGTGGCACACCACAAGATCTGAGCGCCAAATTGATAAACTCTGAAACCAGGTAGATGTTCTGTGATACCAGAGACTGTATAAGTAAAAAGGAAACCTCTTGTAGAAAATAAACTGGAGAATACGGCGACAGTAGGAACATATTGGTTTTCTTAAAGAAAATCAATTACCCAATCCGGTCTTTTCCCATTCAAGACAATAGAAGCTGTGTATGCATGCCTAGAAAATAGCTCATAAACAGACTCATTCCAGAGCAGACTTTGGTGATATCTATCATTTCTGACGCCCTGGTTTCCTACATGACAGTAATGCTGGTTAGACTTACTTGCATTCCCGGCTTTCCAGATCAAAATGCGGGTTAAAGTTGATGAGGATCTTCTGCTGTGGATCAGGCGCCTGGATCAGCCAGCTGCACTGCTGGTTCACCGGGTATGCAGACGGGTAACCAGGAGAGGTCACATACCCGGCGCTGGAGATTGTGATTTTCCCACCGCAGGGACTTTCTAAAAACCAGAGCACAGAGGCAAATTTATCATTTTAACAACTGAAACTCAGGGTGTCATACTTAGACATCAGTCCTGCACATTACATGCATCTCATAATAGTACAGATAACTGGTGACAAACTGCACAAAAGTAACATGACACCCATAATGTCACACAGAGCGCTCTGATCAGATCAGAGGATCGATTATGCGCCTGGAAATCGATCAATGTATCTGAGCTGAACACAACACTCCGTGGACTTAAGAGGGGTCACTGTATATGGGTGCGCAGACGTAGTGGGCAGATATGCCACTGTGTCTGGGTGTTTGAGTCTGATAACACACACCCAACTCTCGCGAACACACACACACACACACACACACATAAGCTGTATATGGGTGCGCAGACGTAGTGGGCAGATATGCCACTGTGTCTGGGTGTTTGAGTCTGATAACACACACCCAACTCTCTCGCGAACACACACACACACACACACACACATAAGGAGCATCTATGGTTCAAGCGCTGTCACAATATGAATACTCTTATCTATTTGTTTTACACAAATGATCTAATAAAAAAAAATGAAAATAAGAATGATCAAATGTATACACAAATAACTTAAAAATGAAAGTAAAAATACAAAATGAAATAAACGAATAAATAAAATATATACACTGTAAAATAAAAACACTATAACATAAATACACTGTAAAAGCATGCGACATTAGGTAGCCTAATGTCTAAATGAATTGCTTTTATTCAAATAAATAATATTACTAAATCAACCTGACCATTGATCAAATAGCTCCTTATGTTAACAAACTGTACATTTGTACTTTTTACCTTGTGGAAACAGTTGTGTAAACTTATTTACAGCAATAAATGATGTAGTGCGTAACGAATTATCTCTCCCTTCATCAGACACGGTTTCTAACTGTTTACCTTCTGAAACAGCAGCCCTACAGGTGAGCATCGATAACAAACGACAGTAATAACCATAACAGAGCTCTCGGGTGCGCAGAGAAACTGTGCCGAAACAACACAACGCACCACAATAACCAACTCACCCGTTAGAGCGCGAGCCACGGACAATCCCGTTAGAGTCACACAGAGCAAACTCCAGTACATCCTCAAAATCTGTTCCGTTATATCCTCAGGATTTCGTGTATGAATAATTTTTGAATCCGCGTGGTAGTTTGGAAGCTGGAGAGAGATCCTGTCACTCAGATCAGGGAACCGCTGTCTCCTGTTCCATAACGCGAAGAAGAAAACTCACAGCCCTGAAAAGCGGGAGATTCTTGCACAGTCAGTCAGCGCTGTGAAATTTCATAATCCAAGTCTGGAGCGGCTTGACAGCGCGTCCTCGGCTCGTTGACAGCGGGCTGTGGGCGCTTCAGCGCGCGCGGTCGGGTCACTCCCTTCAATGACTGATTGCCGTCCTCTTTGTCGTGCGTAGACGGGCACCGGTGGGTATATTTAGCAGGTTCTCTCTGGTGTGAAGGTGTCAGCATCCTATCTGAAGACTGGGGGTGTCAAAACTCCCGCAGCACTGGTTGCTCTCGTTCCTCCTCTTTGAGTGAGAATGGGCAGGACTGGAAACGAGCAAACCCTCTAACCCCTTCCAGGCAGAGACGCGCGGTCTCTCTGCCAACCAGACACGGAGTCGGTGAGCCAAACCAAAGAGACTGTACGCTCCTCTGCGTGGGAGGGGCGCGGTTAGCAACTAACGCTTGAAGCCCTAAAAATAAATGAAAACAAAAGACTGAGGAGGGTCATAATTGCTTCGTTTTTTTATATATACATATGCTACTGTTTTGTTTCAAATATAGTTAAAGTAGTTAGCCAATGAAACAAGATATTGTTGCGTGAAACCATCCTCAAACAAAAATGACTCACAGAAAAATCCCCCGCCCCTACAAATAATTTTCGTACTGTCTAATTGGCCCTTAAAAACAATATTGATATCGTTGCGCAGCGTACCATTCCTAACACTTGTATTAACCGTCTTCATAATATGGATATGTATAATAATGTTTTATTTATGTATTTATGTTGTAAGACGTATGTGAGGAACTCATTGCGCATAAATGTGTTTCTGCACATCGCTAGGAGAGCGCCAACTCCAGGAATCTGTTTCTCTGGCTGGTGACACAGTGACATAAATGTGTGTAGCACGTGGTCACATTCAAGCTCAGAGCGCACCAGAGCAGCCAGCGCTGCAATCTGATCATCCACTGGGACAGAGAGAAGACGATAGAGAGAGAAGGAGAAAGAGGGAGAGGGGCAAACATTGTTTTCCAGTGCAGTCTGCTCACAGAGGTATGGATATGGCTATTAGAGTTCAGAGAGTGGCATTGACCCTCATCTCAGCTCTAATCTCCATTCAAAGGAATAATTCACTCAATAATGAAAGTTTTGTCTTTGTGAAGTGAAATTCTAATGCCATTCCAACTCATTTGACTTTTTTATTATGTGTAACACAAAAGGAGATTTATAGAAGAATGTTCATGCTGCTCTTTTCAAAAAGACAAAAACATAGTCCATAGTGTTATATTCCACATCAGTGATGCCACCATTCTTGCAACTCGCATGATCAATTGTGAAGTTTTGCCAAACATCTGCTTTTGTGTTCCTCAGAAGAAAGTAATGGGTTGGGTTTGGAATAACATGAGGGTGAGAAAATGATGACAGAATTTTCTTTCACTTTTTACCCAGTGGCAGACACAGATTGCTATAACCTCTAGGCGATAATTTTCTTAGGATTGCTGAACAGTTAATAAAAGACATGCTTCTGAAGTCGAGGTGCAAATGCAGTTAACCAATCAGAAGACTCTTAAGTGCATGTCTTTATAATACAGAACCATTGTTCAGTGATAATGCTGGAAGGAAATAATGTAGCATTTTAATATATATCATGGCACTGAGTGATTATTACAATATTCATATATGAAAAAAATCTGTGATCTCACCCTCACTCTCATGCTGTTCCAATTAAACCAGTATGCATTTCTCTCTTATATTTTTAAAAATGTCTAGGGAATTGTCCAAGACAACACTGGAAAAGCTGCATGTTTGTAAGAAACAAATCCATCATTAAGGAAACTCAGAACTGTCTCTTCTGGCCATAATACATTAACACACTTCCTCTGGTGAAAAAATCTGGCCTCTGTTGTCCTCTCACATCAAAATCCACCAACATATTCCTTAAAGGGGTCATATGATGCGATTTAAATTTTGTTTTTTGAACCTTAAACCGCATAAACACATTTCATTACACCAAATACACAAAATAATGTTCTTTTTAGCAACATCATATGACCCCTTTAAGAACTGTTTTCACTTGTAAACAGTGCTCGATCTGTTAACATTTCTCTCCTGATTCAGTAAAAGGAGACTTTTTCACTGAAGAAATCAATATTATGGATGGAGGACTCATATTTTAGCATGAAGCAAAGGTTTGAAGTTAAAAAACATCTTAATTATGGATTTATTTCTTACATATATACAGCTTTTCACTTCACATGACGTTAATTGATTGATGGAGTTGTGTCAGCTACTTGTGGATAACTGTGATTTTTTTTTATCAGCTGTTTGAAATCTCATTCTGACGGCACCCATTCACTGCAGATGATCCATTGGAGAGCAAGTTATGAAATGTTAAATTTCTCCAAATCTAAAGAAGCATCTACATCTTGGGTGGCCAGAGGGTGAAAATTTACATTTAAAATTTTGGGTGAACTATTCCTTTAAAAATAAAGGTTCCAAAAAGTTATTTCCACAGTGATGCCACGCACAGAAGAACCATTTTGGCTGCCCCCAAAATCTTTAAGTGAAAAGGTCTTAAAAGAACCAAGAAAGGTTTTATAGATGTTAAAGGCTCTACGTGGAACCACAGATGCCAAAAAAGAACCTTTATTTTTAAGAGTGTATGTAAGTAAAAGTGGCTAGTATTTTGAGCGCATGTGATTCTATTTTACATATACACATTTCCATGCATGCTGTGCATCTGTCATGGTGATGAATGTTTACTGATAACACGGAGCTGGTCAGATAACACCACAAATGCTTACTGATTCAAACAAGCTTTTGACAAAGAGATAAAGAGTTGTCTCACACACACACACACACACACACACACACACACAAATATTGTTACATTTTCCAGGACAATTTCCAGCAGCTGGTGAAGCTTTAGCATAAAGCTAAAGACTGTTGACATGAATCTGCAGCTTACAGTTCACTCTGACTCTGTCCGTATGCATCGGATGGGCTTTTCAGTCAGACATTGAGTGTGTGTTAGCCAGAGCAGCTGAAATCCCCCAACACACAGTGTGTTAATCTACTCACAAACACTCACTCTCTGCCTGTCTCTCTCTTCTCCAGCCTGTTTTGTGATGCCACAACTCAACAGCGCCTCAGGCCCTGTACGCAGAGATGTCTGCTATCCTGAGTGAGAAAGACAGAATGAAAGAGGGAGAGGGACAGAGAGATTTAGAGTTAGTCTGCCCAGATATGAGCTCCTGACAAACCTGATATTTTAAAGTCACGTTGCTGAAAAAACAAAAGCACAGTTTAATATCCTGACAGTTTTTTTCATGCACGGCTGAATCTGATGAGAACACGTCCAGGTCACATTTTACCCCAAAATAAAGCAAGAAGACGAAGAAGAAAAGAAATCATATTTTGCATAATGAAAGAAGCCTATTTATTTATTTATTTAGGATTGTGACATTTCATGACAAGAAATTCTCATTATTCTCTATGGGGATTCTCATGACTGCAATACAAAATATTTATTATTTAGATCAAAGACAATACTAGAAATACTATGGTGTATAAATACAACAGAATAAAAAGTAAAGAATATATGAGTATTTTTGCAGAAAAGTAATGAAAACGAGGAGAGAGTAAATAATGTCACAACGCAAAAAAAATGTAATAATACTAAAAATAGGCTTATTTTCTTTGTTCTTTTGATTTCTTTCTTTTGATTTTGGACTGAAATACACTGTAAAAGTTTTTGTCACATAACCTCAAGTGGTAACATCTAAATGAACTGGTTTACTAAAACAAGCTGAAAAATTTTATTGGTTTACCTTTAAATCATGTGACCATTAACCAGAGAACTGTAAACATGCAAATATGTTGTTAAATAATTTCAAAATTTCAGGGACACTTCAAGTAAATATTTTACGTCAAAGGGGTTTGGCTGATGAAAAAGTTTGGGAATCCCTAATATAGTACAGCGCTATATACAATACAGGTTTTTTCAAAGCATCTTCACAGTAATAAACAAGAAAATAACAGTATTAACGTTGCAATGTTCCTCAATTATGAAACAAATATAATCAAATATAATCTCAGCTGTAAAGTAGCTCTAAAAAGAAAATAGTGTCATTATTCAGCTCAATTTAGTTCAATGTTGATTCATTTTAGTTCATTAACAGTCTCACTGTTGCAAAGTTCATTAGTTATGAACCGAACTCATTTCAACTATAAAGAAGCTTTACAGAAGACAAAGTCAGTTCAGATGCACAAGCCACTTTTTAAAGGGAGATTAACTTGCATAATTGGCAAACTATTTAGAACTAAATCAGCAGTTCATATACTTTCTGCCATTCTTTCATACCTCTCTCACTCTATCTGGCTTTCTCCCCGTTTTCTTATACATTTCCCATTTTACATCCCCTCCCCAATCATTCATACATGCTTAGAGGCTGTTCTGTTATTCTTTCCTAGTCTGTCATTAAACAAGAAAGCCCTCCACAGCCACAGGAAGTCTGCTCAGCGGACGGAGCTGATTGGCTATCGGTCAGAATCACAGAGCGGTGCCGACATCTGCTGGGACCAAAATCCAAAACCAGATAATTTACATACAGTTTGACCTTCCACACAGCCCTGTGTGTGTATGAGTGAGTGTTACACACTGGTTTCATGAAGCTATTTATCATTCTTTCATGCAGAAAGAGGGAGACTAGGGCGGAGGGGGTTGGACATGTTGCCGCTATGTTGCTTCAGGCCGTTGTGCATGTGGAGAAATTTCTGAAATTACATCATATATCACACAGCGAACACACATAGTCATACACACCCAGTCAAACAAGCGCACGCACACAGACACTTTTGATAGATGGCTGAGACGGAAAGATACTTTACAGGTCCCTGAAGAGAAAAGCAGTCATTTTGTATTTAGAAATTTTATGATATTTTGAGTCTCCCCCATCAGGATTCACTCCTGTTCTGTCGGGACGGAACTGGAGCTATTGGGCAGCTGCGAAGGGAGACGACAAAAACAGCAAGAGCTCAGTGTGTATGATATGCTTTATTGAAACTCAACTGATCGGTCAGAGCAATATAAAAAGCCTCACAAACACACACACACACAGGATCATATTGTGCCCCTGAAAACCACCCCACGTCACTATAGAAACACGGCTTGTTTCCATGGTGATAACTGAAGTTTGTAATTATGACCCTGCATCAACAGGTGAGAGTCAATTACTGTCACCCCCTATTCTACCCTTCTCCCTCACACACGCATTCATGCACTGCCTTCTGTTGTTTCCAGCATTTATGTGAGTGACTCTTTGTGCTTTAAAAACCCCACAGATATTCCAGATGCTGAATCTAACTTGTTTCTGTGGCTCA